TGATGTTGAAAAATTATCAATTCCAACTGAAGATGATGAATTATTAATTCGACAACAGACATTCACAGAAACTTTAATAACATCGGCGTTATCTAGGGTAGGGTCTATCGATCTGATCTAAGATCAGACTGAACCGGTCTAGTATTACTGTATTATGTAAATGGAATTGGCCATTCTGATCGCCGATCTTCGATCTTTGATCCGGATCGGACCAATTTAAACGTTCTATATATGAGTGCCGCCAAGAGAAAGCACAATCGATTATATGAAAAGTCGCCAACGAATTTGCCAGAAGCAAGTAACGTTGGAGAACAAAATTTCTTTAAAGTTAGCTGTTCTTTATATATAAATTTAATAATTCTCCAATACTGCTTTGCCTATCTTTCATATGATCGATTGTATTTTCATATAGCACGTTTTACGATTTTGGATCAAAATCCCGACAAGTTAGCCCTAGCTACATATAATTCAGGATTTCGTTTTTCAGAATTCCGTTTTCGGGATTTTGACCCAAAAATCGACGCTTACCCCAAGCAGTCAATAAAATTCGAGGATCGGCAGCCAATCAGATTGATTTTTAATCATGCTAAATAATTTGCGAACTTTTAAACTTTTAATTCACACGCTACTGCACTAATTTAGTAATTATTGTTACATTCAAAAATATTTAGCGTTAGTGAGAAACTTTTTGATGCTACGTAACTCGAAAAAAAATTAGAGAATTAATGTTGTCGTTAAATAAATTCTCCAGACCTTCTTTATTCAATGTATTATCGACAAATCGACTTTCTGGAGCAACTGGTAATTTCTTTTTAAACAATTAATACTGTAATATTTTGAACTAAATTTCATACGATTTTTTTATTTTTATTTTTATTTTTAGTTGGTAACAAGTTGAGATTTAGTACTAAATCAGCTGGTAAAATATTCACAAGCACTTTTTTACTTGATTGTGTTTAATATGTTTAATATGCAGTATTTATGTGATTTATAAACAAAAAAAAATTTAATAATTCTAATTCAAATAAAGTTAACAAGCATTTTATAGTCTTAGGTAAAAAAAATACAAATTATTACTACAGTCGTACCTGGGTTATATCGCCCCTTTTTGTCTCTATATGTTTTTGAATTTTTTTGGAGATATAACTAAGGTTGAGATATAACTCAATATATAAAACATATAAAAAAAAGAAATTTATTCTGTCTAAATATGGGGATATAACTAAGGTAATAAATAAGAGGGGATATAACCCAGGTACGACTGTAATACATCTAACGTTCATCTTTTCTTCATACAGAATTTATTAATTTTTGATTCAAATCTAAAATAGCATCAGACGCTCCAGATGCCAGTGCACGCCGTCTTTCGTTCCGACCTGCGCACCTATCCCGCGCCGCAAAATTTAAAGAATCTGGTTTAATAGTTGCTGGTGGTGCAATCCTATCAGATACTAAATCCGAAGATGCAGAAATGGTTGGTAGCGTTCTGATAATGGATGCTGATAGTGAAGAAGAAGTAAGAAAATTTCTTGAAGAGGATCCATATGTTGTCAATAAAGTTTGGGGTGGATATGAGATTATGGGATTTAAGTAGGTTTTTTATTTTAAAAAAAGAAAAATTAGATACGCAGGTTTCAGCGGTATACTAAATATATATATATATTTTATAGAATGGCTATAAAATAGTAATATGATTACATTCAGTCTTGGGTTACTAGACGTTTACAGATTTGTAATTTTTCTTATTCAGGAAACTATAAAACTATGGTACAAATTTTATAAGAGCAACACCGATAAGTATTGGATTCCTCAAAAATCCAAATTCAAAATTCTAACACTCCAATCAGACCCACAACTTGCTAATTGCAATCTATCCATTACTTCACCATGACTATCACTATTGGTATTTGAATTTGTATCTGTAGATCGAAATGTGAGGCAATTTACACTCGCAACATGACAATTACTAAAATATATATCGGAAAATAACATTAGAAATATAAGTGAAAACCAAAATGCATATAGTATTACTTACTTCCTATCAATATCAATTATCAAGCTCCATTTATCAATTTGCATTTGCTCAGATTGGTAACATAGAATTTGACCGTTTTCTAGACCAATTGCCACTAAATATCTTAAGAAAATATTTGTGTCAAATAGAATCAACTAATCAATAAAATAAAAATATACAGATATATAAATTATAAAATAGCTACTTTTCACCAATAAATCTAGGCGCAAAATCAATAGCTGTGACTGCATCATTAAGTTTCAAGGTTGTAATACAACGCCACTGACTTTGATCTTGTGATTGTAGAGTGGTTTCTCGATTCCATACCTTAACCTTTAAAGTAATTAAATGCAAACTTAGAAAATTTTTTTAAATATATATATATATATATAACAAAACAAATTACCGTTTTGTCTCTCGAAGCAGTAGCAAATAACAAGTCATCATGACTCCATGAACAGTCCCATATTATACGCGCGTGTGCTTTATATTTGGTTATAAATTTATATGGCGTTGCTATCAAAAAGTACGGATCAATTATCGTGAATATAAAACCCTTCATAAATAATATAGCCTTTTTCTCTGATAAATAATGACACTATATTACCTTCATTTCCTTCACATTTCTCAAACAATGACCATGTCCTATCCCTAGAAACGCTCAATATCAATTTATCATTGTGTGAAAATCTAATTTTTGTAACAGTCAGTGAATGCGATTTCAATGATCCATTAGATAGTTCTTTCCATGTTGTCGTATTATATAATCGGATAATTGCATCTTCTGGAGTTGTTGCCTTTTCGATGAAAAGGAGGCGAATTGATTATTTAGATATGAAAATGGTGATGTGGAATAATATAAAGAAAGACTCCTCATACCTTACAGGCGCAAGCAACATATTTTCCGTTGTGACTTGCACCAACACTTATCAGCTCATATCCATGTCCATACCTAAATAAAATCATTAAACAAGAAAATATAAAACGCAAAATAAGATAACTATTATTTAAATATATTAACAGCTTATCGATTTCGGGCCATAAAGTATTCTGCAATAATTGCTCTTCAAATGGTGGTTTTTCCAAAATCTTTAAAGAACTTGATGTTGTTAAAGTTTCTGTGAATGTCTGTTGTCGAATTAATAATTCATCATCTTCAGTTGGAATTGATAATTTTTCAACATCA